TCATTCTCTGCCCCCGACCCTGCCCCCATTTCCTGTGCTTTTTCCCTTTCTCATTTCTTCCTCCTCTGAGACCTTTTAGGTCTTTTAGCTCTACGTGGCAAGTAAAGTAGAAAAACTCCCTGTGACCTTTTCTATTATTTCTCTATTTTCTGTTTCACTAATTCCCACTCTGCATTATTTCCTTCCTTCTGCTTGCTTTTAGTTTGGTTTACTGTTCTTTTTCTAGATTTTTAAGGTGAAAACATAAATTATTGGTTGGAGGTCTTTCTTGTTTTCTAATATAGGCAATTTAAAGCTAAAAATTTCCCTTTAAGTACCACTTTATATATCATAAATTTTGATATGCTGTGTTTTAATTTTCACTAAGATCAAAATACTTTCTAAATCTCTTTATAATTTCTTCTTTGACCCATGGATTATTTAGAAATGTGTTTTTAAATTTTTACCTGTTTGAGGCTTTCTTAAATTTTCTTCTGCTCTTGATTTCTAATTCACAGAACATATTTTGCATAATTTTAGTCCTCTAAAATTTATCGGTACTTGTTTATGGCCTGGCATATGGTCTGTCCTAGACACTGTTCTGTGTGTGCTTAAAAAGCATGGATTCTGTTCTTATCAAGTGGAGTGTCCTTTCTACAGATGTCTAGTAGGTCAAGTTGGTTGACAGTGTTGTTCAGGTCTTCTATATACTTGCTGATTATTTGTCTTGTTGTTAGTTGCTTCTATTCTTGATTTTGAAGTATAGATTACTGGTGCATCAGTAGTATTTAGGCCTGTAATTTTTCATGTATTCCTGATGTGTACATATATGGTATATTTATGAATTACATATATATTATTATTATCATATTAAACCGCCTAAATATATAAAAAATAGAACATTTTGAAGAATGATATATTCCAGTTGATTATCTTGCACATACCCTGTGTGTGGACAGAGGAAGAGCCCTAATTAACATATCAATTAATTTAAAATATTCCTTTTAGTGTTTGCTGTTCATTTTTGTACATTTGAATAGCAGTGTGTATCAGATTTAGGCTTAAATGTCAAATCTTAAGAGAGACTTAACTCTGACTATCCTGTTCAAATAGGTCACCTCTGTTTTTCAGTATTATTGCATTCTATTTTTATAGTACTTGATAAATATTTAGTTATATATATATATATATATATATATATATATTTTTTTTTTTTTTTTCATATATATATTTTTTTTTTTTTTTCTCCTTTTTGTCTTTTTTACTGACCGGTACAGGATCGCAATCCTCGGTGTCACGCCCGTACCGGGGACCAGCAACAGGATCGCAACCCTCGGTGTTGCACCCGTGCCATGCTCAGCCAGTGAGCGGGAACCGGTCACCACATGGGATCCGAACCCTCGGCGGGAGCGCCGCCGCACTCCCAAGCGGCGCACTCTCCAGTGCGTCACTGGGCCGGCCCTATTATATATTTTTGTTTGTTTCTTTATGGACTGCATCTCCCTCCACTAGTTTTAAGTTCCACAAGGCAGAGATCTTGTCTATTTTATTTACCAGTATATGATCAGAACTTGATGATTTGGATACAATGGGTATATATGTGGATATATTAAAAAAAAAAAAAAAGTACAGCGTATAGTGTAAACACCAAGTAAATATTTGTGGAATGAAATGACTAGAAAGAAGATTGTAAATTTACATATAAAGGACATTTTTTTTTCCTTTTTGTCTTTTTTTGTGACCGGTAACGGGATCGCAACCCTCGGTGTTGCACCCGTACCACGACCGGCAACGGGATCGCAACCCTCGGTGTCGCGCCCGCACCGCGCTCAACCAGTGAGAGGACCGGTCTCTACATGGGATCCGAACCCTCAGCGGGAGCGCCGCCGCGCTCCCAAGTGCGTACCGGGCCGGCCCCATATAAAGGGGATTTTTAAAAACCAATTTTGATCTTCCTTCAAATTATTTAAAATTCAGTTCTTTTTATATTATGTTCACTTTTGATATGGTGCTTAAAATTTCTTCCTTCTTTTCATCTGGATAACTTTGCTTTATAGCAATCTCCAGTCTCTGACATTGTAATATTTATTTATTTTTCATAGGAGCTTGTCTCTAACTTTCTGTTTTAGTCTTTGGGCCATTAGAAATAAATTTCTGTGATTTGTTTTTAAAAGTATTTTTTTAAACTCAGACTTTTATTATGCATATTTTCTCTTTGTAGTATTGCAGAACATACCAGCGATTGCATATTCAAAATTGATGTTATTTTATATGTTGTTTGATTTAATTGAAAGCTTCCTTGAAGCCAGTTGACTTTGTTGCAGTTCCCCCACTGTCATGACATTTCTCAGAGGTGTATTTCTTTTCAAATAGAACTATATAAATTATTGTTTTAAAGTAACAAAGATTAGAATTTGTCTGCTACTATTATTTTGTTTAACTTATATCCTACTGGTAAGATTAATTCTTACACAAAATATGCGTGTTGGTAAATTGTTATATTTATTATGTAAGTATGAGACTATGTTGGTAAATTGTCCTGTGTATATGTTGGTGAATTGTCAGTCTTGGTGGCTTATTTGAGCTTGCTTTTATACTTACTCAACTTTTCCTCATATATCTCTAAAGAGAAGCTGAGTAAACTTGTACTTCCACAATTCCATATGCACAATATGAAATATTTTTTTTTACAGTTAACTTTATTCTGTCTCTCTGTTATTTTTTTGTAATTCACATAAAAGTCAGAGTTGTTCAGCCATCACCTTATTCAATTTTATAACATTTTCATCACCTGAAAAAGAAACTCTTAGCCATTACCTATTAACCTATTCCCCCAAGCCAGCCCTAGGCAACCACTAATCTACTTTCTGCCTCTGTAGATTTTTCTACTCTGGATATTTCATATAAATTCAGTCATACAATATGTGGTCTTTTGTGACTGGCTTCTCTTACTTAGCATAATGTTTTCAAGATTCTTCTATGTAGTAGTACATATCAATAATGTATCTTAGTTTTAATATAAAAATATTTAATTTTACTTAACCATGAAAAACACTTGATTCTCTGGGAAAAAAATGCTCTTTCTTTTGCTTTTTATTCTACTTTCCTTCCCACCTGTCCCAAGCATACCGTTCATTTACCCCTGGAATATACAAATCTCAGTTTTAGGTTCACAGATTCGATCTCAGAATTGGCTTTCTTAAAAATTCCAGGAAAAAGTGTTCTCTAAACTTAAAGCAAACAAGCCCCAAGATCACAGGGACTGACTATCTTTGCTGCTAATAAGTGGGGGAGAGGCAAGTAGAGGCCCCAGTGGAAACCAAGATTGACTGGGCCTGTGCTTCTAGGCCAGTCAGGTGTAGCAGAACAGTCCCAGAAGAGTCCCAGAACAATCCCCTCAGCCCTCAGCTGATACCAGAAAGGGTGGATTCTCTTGTATAAAACTGATACCAACTACAGTTAAGTCAATCTTTTATTAGTTGTGTTAATTATCAGGCAACATAAGGACTCCATGTAGTATTATATATGGATCACTTTGTTCCATAAATTTTCTTACATTACATAACAAATCTGTGTTCATATAACCTTATTCTTGGTTCCTCTCTTGGACAGCCTGCTGGGGACAGGGAGCTGGTCTCTTTCATCTTTGTATTCCTGTTTCCTTAGACAGGCAGATCTCTGGCCCTCATTAAATATTTATCACATTGAACTTCAGGTTGTTGCTAAACACATTAAAGTTTATATAAATCTTGTTTAATCATATTCTCCAAAATGATAGCCTGATGAGTGGTTAGATGCTCATTGGTCAAAGGCGTGGATATAATTTATTAAAAATGAGATCTCTAATGTTTGGGCTTATATAGGGGAAGTACAGAAGTTTTTGAGCTGTATTTTCGTTGTATCTCCATAGTTCTTTAGGAGTTTGAAGGATGTGGTTTTAAGAAGATATCTCACTCCTAAGTCTTTAAACTTAATAAAAACTGGAATTACTTTAACAGAAATTAAAGTTAAAACACTTTTCCAGAAAACCTGTTATAAGACAACATTTTTAATTTGATGTGTTTTTATAATTTGATATATAACAACTTTTTGTAATTTCCAGAGTTAAGTTGTATCTTTGTTTCTCCTTGAGTATTAAGTGTTTTAGCAGTCTTCATAACAAAGGTCATATTTTATATATCATTGATGCCTTTTAACCATCGAGCATTTTAATATGAGTTGTCACTGCATTTAAAATTAATAGGGAGTATTGGATTTGTGCTTGTTCATAATTTAAAAGCACACAGGTCTAATAAAGGTTTATTTTAACTATGGTTAAAGTGCTCTTGACTTGGGTTCTCGATATCAGTACAATACTAATAATACGAAAGTACTTCAAAAAGTTTGTGGAAAAATGGAATTAAAAGATAATACGACTCTTTCCATGAATTTTTCGAAGCCCCCTCATATAGTATGGCAACAACACAGCTTGTTATAACACAGTATTATAATTTAATCTCATAGTCTCTGAGGTATTATTCCCCCCCACCTTTTTTTTTTTTTTTTTTTTAAATAGAATAGGAAACTGAAGCTCAAAGAAGTGACTTCAGATTATACAATGGCTACAGCGGCAAATTTTGAATCAGGTTTTATGATTCCAAGCGGGAAATATCTTTCTTGATAGCAGGCTACATCTATTGCTGCTACTATTGACTACTTATAGTTTGGATGTTCCAGAAGAAGTAGAAATAATTTCTGTGCTCAGTTTTTCTACTGAATTGAACATAGACAATTGAAAATAATAAAAACTTATAAATAATGCTTACTGTGTTTGTAAGTATTTGATGGCATTTAGTAGTGCAGGACAATAGAACAATTCAGAAATGCCAATCCCGTAAGTGGTCTGAAAATTTAATATAATGTGAATGTTTTAATCATTTATTTAATTGTGAGTTACTGAACTAATTTAAAAGTTACTAATTTTAAAAGTTAAATAAAAATATAAAAACATTAATGTAGGTACAATTCTTTTTCTTTCCCAGACAGATATTGGTTATGTACACAGTGTTGTAGCCAACCTGGAGAAAGAGTAAGTCCTTCTTAATTATGGAAATGAAAATATTTAAGTTACTATTATCTCTTGGCTTTCCGCTAAAAGAAAATGCCTTCCTTTATAGTTCATTTCTCTTTGGAGTTCATTGTTTCCTAGACCACCTATCATTGGTCTTTTACACTGTCATAAAGTAGGTGCATATATATCCTGTGATCTAATGGGATAAATTGGTGTATTTCATTGTAGAAAAGACTTGAATGTCATAGGTATGTAACACTATCAAATAAAAGTCTTTAATCTCGCCAGCAGTGAATATAGAGAGTCGCATGAGATTATTTAAGTCTTTCACTCTGTATTTACCAAGCAAAAATTTTTCTGCTGTCAGGGCAGATATTCATGTAGCAGTTTCAGAGCTCAATGCTAAACTGTGTCTAAAAATCTGTTCTATTCTGCAAAGATTGAGTACCAGTTTACTGTGAATAAAGCACATAGCAGGTATCAGATGGAAAGCTTAGTAACTTTCAGGTATTATTACTTTATATAATACCTTAGCAGTTTAATGGTGATATCATAAAAATTAGTCTCGATACAGGTTTCTTCATTGAATTGTATCTGTTTTGGCCCTAAAAGGCATACCTTTTACTTGAAAAGACAAAAGAGAGGCAACAATTATTTGCCAACTCTGAATGTGGCTGTATCCTTGCCTATCAAAATGGCAAAAATGGAGATTTTAAAAGATATTATGCATAGTTCAGGATTAAATTGTCATTTGTTAGATTTTCCTCAAGTGCTAAGTTTCTTGGCACTCTACAGAAACACAATTTGATATAGACTCCTTAAGTAAAGCAACAGGGCCATAATTATTGGTCCTTCTTCCCTTAGACCACATGGGAAGGTCCATGGGGCTTATGCAGTGATTCTGTTGGTTTGTTTCTTCCTCTGTGTGTAGGAAAACTAAGCCCAGAAAAAAGTGCAATTATGCACTATGAACATTTGTGCAAAGATAAGTAGTTGTGCGAGCATTTTGTGGAGCTTTGCAAAAATGAAACAGGAGAACGCAAAGGTTAAAGAAATTTACATGTGACTTAGTACAGACTGATTTAAAAACTTTATTTTTAGAAAAGGGTTCTGAACCTCTTTTGAGCCAATTAGTTATTTGTTGTGGGGGCTGTCCTATGCATTGTAGAATGTTTTACAGCATCCCTAGTATCTGCCCACTAGATGTGATTAATACTGCTCTCAGTGTGACAACCAAAATTTCTTCAGATACTGCTAAATGTCCTCAGGAAGGACAAAACACCCCCAGTTGAGAAACACTGGTTCAGAATGACGCGTAGTCTATACCCACAACTACAACTTCCTGAAAATGGAAGAACTTTGATTTTTTTCATAAATACGTATATTTAGATGTACACATATTCATTTGTTTGTTCTTTAATTCCCTTGATTTTGTTTTTTTTAATTCAGATACTTTTTAGGAATGTAATGGCTGCAGTTGGCTTAGGATTTTTATGCTACTCTAAAGATGGTGGCATTTTACAGTTTTTAAAGCATTACTAAAAAAACAAACAAAAAAAAACTTGTGTTATTGGGAAAATCTGTATTTTTTGGTAAATAAAATGATGAGCACATTATGACCATAACATTATACCCAGCTACAAATAATTACTGACATGTTTTAAGTTGAGCCTTAAGATAAATAAAATCTCACAGAACTTAGCTAACCTTTCTCATAATAGATTTTCTAAAGAAATCAGTTCTGGCTTGGTGGAAATAATATCACCTCCTGAAAGCTATTATCCTGACTTGACAAAGTTAAAGGAGACATTTGGAGACTCTAAGGAAAGAGTAAGGTGAGTCTTGTGGCAGTTAAAGTCCTGCACCCATGTGAGTATAATGTCTAACAAATGGAGTTCTTGTTTATATAAGCATAAAAAATTTAAGGTTGAATTGGTAAAATATTCTAGGTAGTCTCATTAAGTTCAGGACAGCTTGTAAGACATATTCTGGAGAAGTTTCTTAGTATGAATAAAAGCTTAGTTAAGATGAGCTTTAATTTGATTGTGTTTTTCTTAAATTGGCGTTTAGAACTACTTCTCTTATTCAACGCTAATCAGTATGTTTCTTTAGGCTACCAGGAGTTCTTAAAATACTCAATATTGTAAATTCTAATATGATTTTTTTATCATTCAACCCATATTTCTTAATTTTTACCTCTATGCAAAACACAGTCCTGGGCATCAGAGCATTGGTCCCCCAAAGTATAATTTTTGAAGCACTAGTTTAGTGAGACTGAGAAGAAGGAAGTTTGGAAAATACTACAATAAAAAAATGATTTTTCAACAAATGTCTTTACTGCTAGATGTTTTATTGCCTTTAGTATAATAATATGTGTGTAGAAGGGGAATATGTGTGCAGTGTTTCCCAAACTTAGTTGACATTAGACTCCTTTTTCCCTCAGCGTATCTTGAGGATTAGTGTTCTTGGGAATACAATTTGATAAAGGCTTTGTTAGAGAAGAGCGAATTTTCTTTGACTCTCTATCCTAAGTGTGTAGATGTGTGTGCATGTGTATAAAATGTTAGACACTTAGAGTTCATGTGTCTAATCTTATTTTTACTAAATTTGAGTGTGATTCCTAATATTTTTTGAAAATGTTTATTTCAGATGGAGAACAAAGCAAAACCTAGATTATTGTTTTTTAATGATGTATGCTCAGGAAAAGGGCATATATTACATTCAGGTAAGTGTGGTTTGTTCTTTAATGTTTTTCACACTTCTAAAGAAAAAGTATTATCAAGTGTGTATTTTCATTAAAACGGGAGGTTTTGAAAGCACAAACCCTCTAAGACCTACAAAATCATAACTATATTAGAGAGCAGAGGAGTCTCCATACAGTCAAGAATGTGGGCTCTTTTTCCATTGAGTGCAGACAGGAGCTTTCCATTTAGTGGGGTGACCACATTCTAGTCACTTAACCCTTCCTTCGTCTTTTTCTCTTTTTCCTCCATCTTCTCTATCTCCCTTCCTCTCCCTACTGTTAAAAAGAACTTAAGATTTAATTATTTGGTAAATTTTTAAGAAGGATTTCCTTATAATTTTTTCAGTGGTCTTATGGTAAAATAATTTTTTCATGGCCGCATACAGTTACATTTATATTGAACATAATAAAATTGATATTTAATTCTAATGGTCCAATTTTTATTTTTATTCTTTGACAGCTGACCCGTACAGGGACCTGAACCCTTGACCTTCGTATTATTTGCACCACCTAATGGTCCCATTTTTAGCAGCATGGCCACACTCCTGTACAAATAGAATAATCAAATGATGATATAGGTTTAAGGTAGCCAGGTGGGCAACAGTTGGAAGAAGCTCTTATTTCTTCCAAATCTCATCCTCCTTCATGACTTAAGCTTAAATTCCACAATTGGAATTTTATTTCTTTAACCAAAGAGGGTCTTTATCCCTTTGCCAGAATGCAAATACCCTTGAGAAGAATAGCACACTAAGCCTGTCAGTTACTGTTTTTCAGTATAAAAAGCTTATTAGATCTTTTCCTGTGAGGATATTTTGATGAGGGTGGCACGAAGAGACTCTGGGTTGCTGAATCAGAAAGGAAAGGGTTGGGCAGCTGCTGGGGGGTTGGAGAGAGGGGGAAAGAAGGAAGAAGCGTGGGCTCACATGGGAAGGCAGATATATTGAGGTCAGACTTTGTCTGCTTTGACATTTGACCTAGTACCAGCAGCATTCATATGTATATTGACTCCTTGGTTCAGAGGATAGGAAATGTAAATGATGAATACAGTCAGAATATAACATTGTATATAACAGTGTACAAGAGTTTGGCATTTAAAAACATAATATCCTAGGTTTAGGTAGTACATTTCCTTAAAGACCTTAGAGAAATCTTATT